TGAGTACGAGAAAGTACTCCAAGATTTGAGCGCTATTAGCAGACGGGAAACCTTTCCTTACGAGGTAGTGAGGTATCAGGAAGCAAATAGCGGTCGGGATAGAAATAAGTTTTATGTAATGACCGTATACTTTCCCGACTTCGGAGTATACCACGTAGGTAGATATTTGCCTAGGGAGCACGAGGAGTTCTGTGCTTACACGAGGTGCTAGAGGATAGCCGTGTGGAAGCTGAGGGAAGAGAGGAAGATATTGGAGGACTTGGGAAAGACTGTAAAGGTCTGCGACGACATCTTGATTTTTGACGATCTGCCTAGGCCGCCGATTCCTGACAGAGGACTGGAGCGGAACGGAGGGGAGGCAATAGTAGATTTTGCCAGGATGATCAGGGGGAAGGAAGAGCCCAGGTAGTCGATAAAGGATAAACAGAATGAAGGAACGAGCAAAGGAAGAGTTATCTCTGAGTGTGAACTATCTCTGAGTGTGAACTGCGGTCGAGAAGAGAGAGATTTCTTGCCTGAAACAGACCTTCCGAGGAGACACTAGCGACTATCTGTGGCCTTTTGAGTTCGCTAGGGAGGAGAGAAGCGATTCCATATGAAGTCGAGAGGTACGAGTTTGTGGATAGCGGATGGGAGGAGATAGGTCCATATGTGATAACTGCCATGTTCATCCATTTAGACATATATGATGTGAGGATCTACCTATCAGCGGAGAGAGGAGTAGATCTTGTGTACGTTCGCTGTTGGGAGCATGCAGAAGAGATTGTAGAAGGTGAGAGAGATAGGTTACTATCACTAAGGAGAAACATTAACTGGAGCACGCAGTTAACGATCTTTGAAGGGCTTCCTAAACCTCCAACTCCGTATCAGATTGCGCAGAAAAGAAACTTCGGGGTTGTGATTGAACTTGCCTTACGACATCAAGAAGTTGATGGCAACATGAGGTGAGTACCCGCTGGCCGGAGTCAGTGCAGTACAACAAGGATTGAGCGATCTAGAGAGGAGGACATCTATCGATTTACGGGAGCGGTTGCGAGCTTGTACTCGCGAGAAGTTACGTGCTATAGGGAGTGCGATTTGTAGGGGAGTCTGGTATTCCGAGACAGGTATGTTAGAGATTAGGAAGGGTGTCGTCTGTATAGAAGGACAGGAAGAGCGACTTTTCCTTGACACGGGGATATTAGGTGTTGAAGGGACACACAAGATTCGAGATGTAAGCGGAAGAGTGATAGTGATATTGAGGGCAGTTGAGAGTTAGATTTAGGCATTTAGAGATCGGTAGGACTAGTTCTGACATTAGGTCCGGGTTACCGGTTCTGACATCAGGTCCGGGCTGCCGGTTTTGACACCAGGTCTGGGCTGCCGGTTCTGACATTAGGTCCGAGCTGCCTGTTTGTGGGATAAGGACAGTAGACTCCCGACACAAACTCAAGCCAGAAAGGGGAGTAAAGTGTATGGAGTCCGACACGATGGGTCCACATTTGGACGAGGAACAACAAACCGTTGTGTACTGAGCATCACCGGATTGAGCTCTGCGAGACCTCAAGGAGCGTATCCGACAGAACGCTCATTTGAGATTTGTAGAGCAACCCGACGATGGAGAGCCGGAGGTAATGACCTATTCGGTCATTGGAGAACCAAGCAAGACCGCCACGGTGGTACGGATGGAGAATCGAACCGAACCTCCGAGTTTTCCGCGAGAGTCGACTATTCGACGTTCACCTACGTATGAACAAAGAGACGATAGAGGTGACCGAGGAAGGGATGACTGGAGGGACCAATAGATCAGGGAGCAGCTTTGGAGAGACAGAGAGAGGGCCGCATCGCCCAGGCGGATCTACGACCCGTAGACAGGCGAGTTGTACTCCCTACCATACGAGAGGAGAAACAGGTTCATCATCTCGTACCAACCTTCGGAGTTAGACACCAGACCCCCCATTTTCAAGGGATACGGTATCACTGAGTATCTTGAGAAGTGGGAGTTAAACGCGTACCGTAGTCAATGGTCGGAGGACGAAATCATAGATAACTTCCTATTTAACACGGACCCGAGCTCAAGTAAAGTGATTAAAGAAGCCCGACCGAAAGACAGACGATGGACTACCTATAAGGCCAGTCTCTACGAGCTCTTCAAGCTAGAAGACGTTAGGTATTCCATCCGAGACTTGGAACTGATGACTCAAGGTGAGGATGAGAGTGTTCAGGCTTTTGGAAGGGGATTCCGGAAGATATTTGATGCCTTTATTGCAAAAGGGAAGTTGTCAGAGGTCGAGAGATGCACGATCTTCATCGGCCGACTAGCCAGAGGGAAGCAGAAGGGAGTACTGAGAGAGATGCCTCACGATAAGTTAGACTTTGCCGCGGTACTCAAGTTGGCGATGAAGTCTGAGGCCGATGACTACAAGGATTTAGTCTAGAGGGGAATGCAGCATCGGGACTTCTCCCTCTACCGGGAGTACGAGGCGGATAGGTGTCAAGACTTTAACGATCAACCATGGGCGGAACGACGATATTTGATGGACAGGTACAAACCGCAATGACCAAGGGACAGAGAGACGGTGATAAACGAGGTGAGAGAGATGAGAGAGATGATGAAGGGAATGGTCAGGCATATGATCAATATCGAGACGAAGACAGGAGCTACTACTTATCGGGACAAGCCTGGGTCCCCCTATTCGTTGTCATGGGACCGTAGGAACACCGACCCGTGGAGGAGCATCGAGGATAGGAACCCTTGCACGCTAGCAAACTATCGCGCGAGAGAAAGGGATGATGATGCCTGGCGACGTAGAGATGACGACATTGACAAAGACTGTCGAGGCGACAGATATCGGGGCGCAGACTCTCTTAGCAGAGGGGGAAGACTGAATCAGTATCCTCGCAGTCCCAGATATGGAGGAAACATGGAAGGATACCGAAGCCCAGATAATTTTAACTCGAGGGATAGAGATGACTCCCGCAGCAGATGGGAATCGGACAAGGACCGCCGTTATGGATATCGTGGTGGAGGTCGTCGGGAAGACCCACGTGGGCAGTATGATCGAGGAGGATATCCCGCGTCGCCTGGGTACCCAAAGTCTCCAAACTATCCCAAGTCCACGGGACCGTCCACCCAAGATCTGTGTTACCGCACGTTCATTGAACGCACGTTTCACGTTCAGGGTATGAACGCGGTGAACGAGCGTTCACTGGACGCGCGTGAACGCGTTTGACGCGTTTGCGCAAGGGGTTGTGAGGGGTGGGGGGGGTCTTTGGGCAGTGTGGGGAGTGGCGGCGG